GGATAAGCACTTGCAGTTACCCTAGCAAGTTGGCATTGAGATCAAAGTCTGTCTTTGTATCATTAAGCAACAGAAGACATCTGTGGGAGTCAGTAACAGCAGGTCCCAGCCCTCACCTCATTAATGCTGATTTCTGCCTCCACATACTGGAGTCCTTTCTGCAGGATAGAGATGAGAGCAGCAGGGGGCACTAGTGTTCCATTGATGTTGGATTGGCTGATGTGGCTCTCAATGCCAAAGGTGAATGCTGAGTGGGAGAAACCTGAAAACAAAACACCATTCACATTCATTAACAGCAGAGTGCCAAGCACAAGATGTGCACAAACACAACACAAATATTCAAAGAAAAGTCTTGTCTGATTCAATCAAAGCTAAGAGTAATTGAATACAACAACAAAATGGAATAACAAGCATGACATTTGAGAGTACAATAAGGCATGCCAATTTTCAGTGTTGACCTCTCAGAGCTGCTAGTAGCTTGTACACTGCCAGATGGCTTCAGACAGTCTCAATAAACAGTAATAAAAGACAACAGCTAGGGTTTCGGGACTGATCCAGATCCTTTAAATTCAGATCCCTGAGTATAATAGCATGCTGACATATCCAGAGCAATGCAACACTGTGTTTTCACATGGTGCTTACATCCTAAATTTACAAAAAAGAAAAAGAAAAAAAAAAAAAGACATTTGAGAGGCAAACCTGACTCTTGGAGATATCTGTAGACCAAGAAGTTCACTTCGTCGCTGGTAATACTCATCTTAGCCCAGTGAAAGGAGGAGGTATGTTGGAAGGCTGAGCTCACTCCTGAGAAGAGATCAAAATTGGGAGCTGAGATGAATATTTAGGTCTGTGCTCTGGCATGTGACATTTACAAATCCATAGTTTTATTGACCCAAATTGCATTTGGCATCTCCTACTGGTAAAAATAGTTACACAATGTGTCTTTGCATAGTGATACAGCTATGCACAGACAAACAAACACACGCACGGGAAAGCCCTCACTTCCACTTCCTGTTAGTTCATTCACACTCTGGTCTTAACCACTACTGCATGAGTCGATCCTCTGATGTTGTTAAGCGCTGGATTAGTTCCTCCCAAAAATCTACATTCAGAACAAAAAGCAAGAAGATGGAATAAGCTTTGATTTTAGGATATCAAGCATGACTCTACTGCCCATCTAGTGACTTACAATTAATCATAGCAGCCCACCTAACCTTCCAGTTTAAACAAATACAAGTATTTAACAGTACTTACATTAACAATTAAATCAAAATGAAGGAGTAACATTGTTAATTCTAACGTGTTGCTGTACTGTTCATAATCTTCCACATGCTTTACAAGAACAGAGTAAATAAAGCTGGAAAAAAACCTTGTGTATACACCCACAGAAACAATGTAAACACACACAAATTTATAGTAAATACCACAAGAACGAAAATGTCACAGCAGCAGACAACAAAGCAAAGGAACCAAATTAAATCTGGGAAAGCACAAAGACACACATCTAACCATTTCCTGCTCTCCCAATAAGAGGTAAACAGATGGACATTTCGCCATAAAGAGACATAAAGGGATGCTGTCAGCTATGAAGACTACATGGCTGTCCAACTTTCATTCCATACACTATCCAGGCCCACTCAAGATTCCCTTTGGTAGCATAGCAACAAGAGAGATCGAGCAAAATAGACAGAGCGGTGTTGTCCCAATTACCAGTGGGCATAAAGCCAGAGGGCTTGAACATTTTACTCAACATGAATTATTCACTCTTTCACCTTGGTATATTCTTTCAAATTGGGTCTACCTTTGTTGTAGCCCCATAGAGATGCTGAGGACTGGAATAATAGCTACCTCTAACTGGTGCAGCAAGCTTCTTTTATATTTTTGAACATAAAAGACTATGCCATTATACTCGGAGCAAAGACGCTCGCAACTGCAAAACATATAACTGAATGTCAGAAGCATTAAGCATTACATGGACAACAGTTTTATTCTCATTTCATTGATTGCTGAAGCATATGATAATGACAGACACATTTCACTCAAGGTAAGAGTTCTTTTGCCCTCTTCTTCCAAATAATAAACAATGCTAAGCTTGTCTACCTTCATCGATGTACCCAGTTCTGGTCACAGCCCTAATGTTTCTCCTTTAGCTAATCAGCTTACATATGGGACTAAGACAGACTAGCCACATCAAAGCGTTCAAGCCACTGCTCCCAGGGCCACTATAGCTACATACCAAACAACTGGCAACATTATTAAATGGGAGTCTAGAGAGAGAGATGCTGGTCTCATCAGCAGCACCAATAAAGCCTCTATCAGATGGGCACATGATGCAACCGTCCATTACACAACACGCTGGGCATTCAAGACTCCTTTGACTAAACACTGGGCCTAACCAGAGAAGATGCCAATCTCTGTCCTGCAAAGGTTTATCAGTTCAGATGAACTCAGATAAGCACAGAAAAAACATGAGACATCCAAACTGATCGTACGCTTACAGGTTCGTAGGATTTGTAGGACTTATTAGAGGGCTGTCTAATGTGCTTAGCAACATGCAAATAAAATCAAAGACATTGTTGATTGATCGTAAACCACACGGCTTAGTTTGAGATAGAAATCTGATTCATGTCACTTATTGCACAGGTAAGAGAAAAATACTCAACAATGAAACACGTAACCCTACTTTGTGAAATGCTTTCAGTCTCTCAGCTGGCAGATTTGATTAATGTCCTGTCGATCAACGGAAACAAAGCAGCAAATTGCACTCCAGCAAAACCAGTCTTCATGTGACAAATACACATACGAGAAATCCGATGACGCATCTGAAATACAAATCAGCGTGTGAGCAACAGTTACAGAAGTACCCATCTGTTTTCTATATTAAGCTACCATTATCATCTTAAGAGTTTCCTGTCTTCACTTCGTCTTAGAGACGGTATTAAAACAGACAAAAAAATAAAACCACATCACAACGAACATGCCTGCATGGTGATATTGACACCATTTACAGGCGGAAGAAAATATAGCTCTACAATCGTATCAACTCTGTCAAATGGAAAACATGTGACTGCAAAGCAAAAAAAATAAATAAATAAAAAAGGGAAATTGCTAGAGTTGATAAAAATCACCTAATGGATCAATTATGAGCATCCCTGCTGAGGACATCAGGCTCACTGCAGCCATTCTCACTATATTGCCTCTAAGACGACGCCCTCATAATCCACCTTTGACCATCACACTAAACCAAACAAAGCCTGCTTAATGCCTCCTTAGTGTTCACATAGCACGTTATTGTTTCTGAATTCATGATATGTTAATGCAAAGTGATGTGCTAATGTGAATTTATGTGCATATCCCTGTATACCAGCACACTATGACCCAGACCTCAATTCAGCTCTCTGATTTCTGCTCAATTTATGGTCGTGCGTGGATGTCGAGTGTAGCTCTACGGCTAACACAACTACACAGCTACAGATAACACAATTACTGGATTGAAACCAACGCAAATGCTGGAGTGCAGTCCTTCAGAAAGCCAACAGTATGTTGCCTGACTGATGACATTACAAGATTACAGCAGGTTTAAAGCCAACTGGTTGAAAAGCTGATTAAAACAGGAAAGTGTGAGTGGTGAGTGTGCACCACAAAGAAGAAGAATCACAAAATTACAAATTAATACATAAATAAGAAGCACACATTAAAAACATCAACAATGGCTGCAGAGAACAGTCTATACATTTAAATTATGAATTGTGTCTTCTCTGCAACAGAGCTAAAGCCAGAGAACCAACAAGAGCCAAAACTGAACAAAGTAGCACACATTACTGGCTGTTCCACATATCTGACAGTGTCCCCAAGTGACACAGTGGCAACATGTAGACACGGGTCTGGTTAGCTCTGTGCAGCAACAGCACAATACTAAAGCAATATTGTGCCAGGACTGTGCCTCTGCTGCTGGCTAAAAAACACGACAACAATGCCCAGCAATGCTGTGGCTGAATGCTTCGAGATATTTTCAGTGTTGAAATAGACAACTTAGACTTTTGCCAGTATGTTTTTCTGTCCAGTTACTGCATAGTTGATTTATTTAACAGGTACTACAGCTTTGGATTTGATCTTATCATAGCATATAATGTGACTGTAGAAATAGCAGGTACTAGCTGATACTCAAAGACTCACAAGAAATATGAAACTGGATGTCAGATATAAGGACAGATGTCTCTTTTCTTTTCCTTTTTATTCTTTTTGCAGTAAGACCAAGGATAGTCAGCACCTAACACTTCCCTCTACAGACGCTCTGTCGATAAATTAGTACATTCCTAAGAAACAGACATGACTAACATACGATGCAATTCACAGAAGGTGGCAGCGTTGGGGGAGGGGGAACTCAAATAGTCATGCTATGCTGTTACAGCGTTTTTCCAACTTCCTTGTTTTGAGCTTCACATTTTGAACTGTGACCACAGAGGGATATCAGATGAAAGACTGGAGAGTGGTATGAAAGCTGGTCAAATCTTAATTTGTATGAAGTCAAATTTCAAATTAATTAATTAACTTTTTATATTATTATGTTATAAAGCTCGGAAACCTGCTTCAATACATAAACCAAGAGTTTTAAATATCAAGCTGCTCTAAACTGCGCAAAAACAGATCAACAATAAAATATTGATATTCCCCTTAAGGAAAATGAAAGGATTACATATGAAGCAGTTTAAATGCAACTATTTGAGCATTTAAAACAGCATGTGTTGATTTAAAAAATGTGCATAGATAGAAAAAAAATTTCACAGCAAATCGAATAATACCTTGTGCAGAAATCTTAGATCTTTTCCTGTGAAAACCTCACTAAAAATCAAATCCAATGCTTTCTGAACATCAACATTTGGCTGTAAAATAATAATAATAATAATAATAATAATAATAATACAGCAAAGAAAAACACACATTCAGGCATCTCCTACACATGCAGGCTTGAATAGAAAGATGTTATAAAAAAAACCCTGCATACCACGGACCCCATTTTCTCCTGAACAGTCAACTCCTGACAGATGTGCAAACAAGACCTGGAAACAGCAGCCATTTTCTCTTGAACTGCTCTGCTGAGTAAAACCCGCCTTTGAAGCTTCTGGTTTGGGCTGCAGTCTGGGGAGGGGGGGCAAAGGGGACAGTGGAGGGGTGCATTGTGATAATGATCCCCACACAGGTAATCACAACAACAACCATTTGTGCATTGTCCTTTGCCTTTCTCAGTGAGTCACTAAATGACAGTCAATGTAGGTCGGCAAATGATGGGGGATGGTAGCCTTCGGTCTCTAGGGGAAACACTTCTCCCATGCTTGCAATGGGTGGAAACACTTCATGTTTACCAGGGGTGGCCAGCCAAGTGCAATGGAAGTCTGCAGGTTTTTCATTCCAACCAGTGACTACACCCACACATTACCACACCTTTGGATGAGTGCATCTCACACGTAAAATTACCTGTTACAGTAATGAGTTGGGGAAAAGAAAAAAAAAATTCTATAGGCTCTCCAAAGCATGGTTGGCCATGCCTGGAACTACAAGGACTGGGCTACTAGATCTTTCAGCATGATGAGTCATGAGGCTGAAGCGGCTGGCATAGTTGTGTGACCACTGCAGCTTCTGTTTGCCTTTTTTTTTTGTTTTATTTTTTCCTTTTTGATGTCTACATGCAAGCATGTCTGCAGAGGTTGTATACCCATATACCTTCACTCTGTGTAACCAAATACCTTTGCAAATGGACACAAACATGATACCATGAATCCCACATAACACATTAATGAGGGCAT